CTCAAATAAACTCTTCTTAAAATTATTCAAATTAAATTTTATCTTTATCTTCTCACTTTTTACTTTCTCTCTAAAAACTTCACTCTTCATTTCTCAAAATTATTCAATTAATTTACGTTGCACCGTTCCTTCTGATACGAATTATCCCCTAGTATATATACATGTAAATAGACGAGATACGATACTAACATATAAAAAAAATTACTATCGTGTTGTAAAATTTATCAATTTTGTAGGTTGAAATATTAGATTTTATAAAGTGTGATGACCAACAAATTTAGTTGAGATCAAATCAATAGGGTATCAATAAAATATTTGAAAACTTAGGAAAACCTTTTAAAATCAATTCCCATGTTTGCTCAACTATTTCAAACACCTTTTCAGCAGAAAAAGATATTTGATCCCCACATATTTAAAGAAAACAATTTTAACGTTTTTCTGACATTGATTCCCCTATTATTTACAAGAAAAAAGGTTGTCGCCACTTGCTAGTCACATGACCCATCATGCCCTGTCCCACTCATGACACTTACAGTTGCGTGTCCATCATAGCTGTTGCCCATCCATGACAAGGATTGCAAATGTTCACTTATCAACTCGTTCGGCACGTGAACTAAACAGCCGATGTAAACTTGTTTAAATCGGACACAATCTCGCTAAAATGAACTTAAATGGAGCATGGAGTACGAATCCGATAATAAATTCGCCAATATAACAATATGAAATTAAAATGACCCGACTCACTCATTCTTGTAAGTGAGCGGAGCCGTTCAAAGCACCTGCCACTGCTTACGTTCACACTCTATTTTTAATATATTTTTATTTTGTGAAATCTCACTTTCACGGGCACCACTGGCCACTGGGGTCCATAATTAGAACAAGTGGCCATGCAGTCACTATCCTTAACAGCATGGCCGAATTGGAGTTGATAAAATAACGGTGGCCTTCTGGAACATTTTCCTGTGGGCCCACAAAAGATATCCTCTCAACCCAATCTTTTGAGAATAATACTTTCTAGCAAAGTTTGAGTGAAATCTTGATTTACATTTTTATTTCTGGATGATTACGTGCATTTACAATTGACATTCTAGACATGAGACTAAAAAACAGAGTCGGAATGGTTCTCCAACACGGGTTTGAATACACTATTATACATGGAAAGAGTGATAACGAATTACAAAATTTAAGAGATTAATGAAATCAGTGACTGATGAATATAGAAGCTCGGTTGGAATTGGTAGCATTGGAAGAATGCTCTTCAACTTCTTTTTTCTTTTTCTTTTTTTTTTTTTTTTAATTTTTTCTTCCTTCCCAAGCTTACATAACAGAAATCAAGCATGTGTTTGGATAATTTTTGCACAATCAATAATTATAAATGTATCAAGCCAAAATCTACTATTACTAATATTTTTCAAATAGTTTCGAATTTTTTTTGTGGGTGTAATAGCCAAAATCTACTATTACTAACACTTTTGTTATAGTCTCGAATCTACTACGACTATTAGGGGTCAACAAAGGTAAAAAGGTAAAATTCTCATTCTTCTTGGTTAAGTCTATCTTCTCTCTTTCATTTTTCACCCAATTTTGTGGGAAATTTTTTTTGTGTGATGAGGGAATAGATATTTCTTCCAACTTTCCTTTCCCTCTCATTTTCCCTCCATGCTAAACAGTAGAAATGTTTCATTTCATTTCTATTTTTCTATCTCCATTTTTCGTTCATTCAATTTTCTTTCGAGCCAAACATGCCATTAGGTCCTCTTCATGAAGGATGTTGACTTAATTCATAATGATATTTAAATTGATGATAAATTTTATTAAATATTAAAACTTGATATTGATTCAATAATTCTAGTAAAATCATATCATTAAGACAAAAAAAGTTATGTGGACAAAAAATATTGACACTTTTTTCTGGCTACTTTTCATCACAACTATTGAATAGGTAATTTGTCCAAATAAAAATTGGAACCCACTATTAAATTAATTACAATGATATTGAGAGTCAATAAATATTATCAATATTATTTGTCCAAATAACATTGCTCATGAGTGATTAAAATCAATCAAAATTCAACCCATTAACATAAGGATTTGAATACGGTACCCAAAAAAAAAAAAATTCGGTACCATACCTCTATTTACTACATTTATGGTTATTTTTATTATATTTGTGGATACTTTTATCACTATTGTAATAATTATTTTTTTAGGTATTACAATAGTAATAAAAGTACCCATAAATATAATAAAAATATCGACAAATATAAAAAATCACTTATAAAAATGATAATTTGTTTTATACTTAAGAAAAATGGTAAAAATAGTTAACTCAAATATGATAAAAACACTAATAACAATGATAAAAATATCTACAAAAATAATATCAATCACAAAAATAATAAATATTTTAGTTGTAAAATAACTCACCAAAATTAATAAAATATCCTTAAAATTAATAAATTTTGGAGATATACTATTAAATTTTTTTTACCGTACGATAATAAAGTTTGTAACATAATAAAATACTGGAAAATGCTATGCATATCAAATATTTTTACCAATTTGTTTTATTTCAAATGATGTGACATAATCTTTGTCATTAAATATTAATTAAATTTATTTATTTAATGATAAAAAATTATGTCACGTTATTTATGACGTGGATTTAATAAAAAAATTTAATAAGCGTTGTCCTAAAAAACCTATCACATATCACATCATCTCTCGGTAATACCACTAGACATCAAATTGACATGAATGACAAATTATAACTTGGTCCTCTTAAATATTTTTGGGGGGAATTACAATACTTCCTTAATATTTAAAATATTACATATAAAGTTTTTTGAGGTTTGTGCGTAGATAATGTTTAGACCTCTCTCTTTAATATCCGCTAGTAAATTATATCTAAATTCATCAAAATTTGTAGGTGTGTATAATATTTAGACACATCAAGTTAAAAATATTATATTTAAACAAAAAATATTCAAATCAAAGATAAAATGTTAAATATTTTAAATTTTACAATTAAAATTTATGTTGTATTGTATCATTTATTGAAATAAAATTAAAAATAAAAATCTAATTTTTTTTAAAAATCATAATTAGTATATAATCATACTATCTATTGAAATAAAACTAAAAAAATCAAATAAGAGGCCAAATTGAAATAGACACAATATCTTCTAACTTTAATTTGAGTAATTTGATAGTTTAATTTGTTCGTTTAAAAGATCAAATTAAATTCTGATAGATATTATAATTGTATATTAATTATAATTTTTTTAAGAAAAATTAGATTTTATTTTTGATTTTATTTCAATAAATGTCATAATAGAGCATAAATTTTTGTTATAAAATTTAAAATATGTGATATTCTATTTTTTCTTGCAGTATTTTTATTTTAAGTATAACATTTTAAATTTGAAAGATCTAAGTATTGCATGCTTACATGCTTCAAGGGATCTATATATAATTTATTAACGATATACTAACAGACACTGACGACAGATGTCTAAGTGTTACGCATATATAAACTTTAGAAGGTCTATTCATAATATTGTAAATGACACGAGATTTAAGTAACTAAGTGACAAATCTTAAGAGATTTGAATATAATTTTTTCATATTTTTTTTAGACAAATAACATATAGTTCAATATACATAATTAATTTTTTATTTACTTTTCTTAATTTTAAAGTGATTAATTTTGTTAGGTTAGAGGAAAAATTAATCCATTTATTTTTTTATTTTTTATATTTTTATTCTTTATCAAATATAATATTTTATTTACTCTTCCAATTTTTATCCTACCCAACACAGGACGAGTACGACTGGTTGTTGGCCAAGTGTATACAGGTAACGTGGCCTCTCCGGTCACACTGTAAAGGAGTTGTACTGCATTTCGAATCGAATCTATATCTACTTTTTTTGAGTGAGATATTTGTTATTATTTTTAGTAATTTAAATTTCCTAATTCATATTTCGTACATCTTTATCGGAATTCGATTTCATTTATAACATATTTTACATATCAGATTTGAATATCGTATTCAATTGAATTGGGTGATCGGTTCAGATATGTTTACATATGAATGGGGTGATTGAAATTCAATTGCGATTTATTGAAATTCAGCTCAAATTAAAATATTTGGACAAGATCTGATTTTTTTAAGGGCAAATGGCACTTTGCCTCCTGAAAGATTGAAAATTTTTTAATTTGTGCCACGAAAGATTGATTATTTCAAATTGCTCTCTTAATGTTATTATTAGTGACAATGTGGCCCCAGGAGTTACGGACGTTGAACTTGCTGTTATTCCAAGCTATCACCTGAGATGCACGGGATAACTAGAAGGGCATTTATGCAAAAAACACCACAGACCCAAAACCCCCCAGATTGAAATCTTTTGGCTAATCGAAATCCTTCGACTAATCAAAACCCTTTCTGGCTGATCAAAAATCCTTCATTGCTCCTTTGATTGAAAGTTGTGAGTTGAAGCTTAAAAATTGAAAAATGTCTTGGGTGGTAAGAGAAAAAAAATACAAATAAGAAGCTCCGAATTATGGTAAGAGATATATTGTGCAGTGTGAGTGTTAATGCTAAAAGCTATTTTTTATTCAAATTTGAGTGTATGTGTTCTGTTTGGTTGTATATATTACTGGGGTATTAAACAATTGGTTTGTTTTGTTTGTGGGCTCTCACTTTTATATGTGAATGTTATTTTTTTGTTTGAATTTTTCATTTTTTAATTGTGAATGCTATCTTTTTGTTTGTATTTGGTTGTAGACAGTGGTGATGGTTTATGTCACAATCAGAATGCATCATGGTTGTCAATTCTAACATGAGAATGATCAAGTGTGCGGTGGAGGGAGAGTGAATCACCTTGATTTGTATCACATAGACCAACTTTCTTTGATAGAACTGGACAATATGTTGAAAGCGATGAGATTGGGGTACTACGAGATTGTTATATTCCATCTTAGAATTCCTAATAGATAGAAAGTTTTAGATAAAGATGAGGATGTTGTGAGTTTGGGTAGATGGATCAACAAGCACAAAATGTTTGATGTGTATGTTGAACACACTAAAGGATATGTCCTTGATCAAAGCCAAGCTGAGTCAAATTGTATTCCAACTACACAACAGTTTGATTGGGGAAATAATGTCGGTGATAGTGTAGTGGCTTCTGATAATGCATTAGACAGTGAATTATCACAATATGAGGAACACTTATACAAGTTGACTTCAGATGATGAGTACTTCTGTGACAGTGAGTATGATTTTGGGTCTGTGGTATTTTTACATGAATGCCCTTGTAATTATCACGTGCATCTCACGTGATAGTTTGGGTTAACATCAAGTTCAACGTCCGTCACTCCTGAGGCCACATTGTCACCAAATAATAACATTGAAGGTGCAATTTGGAACAATCAATTTTTCGTTGTGCAAATTGAAATGTTTTTAATCTTTCAGCGGCAAAGTGCCATTTGCCCTTTTTTTAACGAAACCGAATATTATTCGTGAAAATAAAATTCGTCAGACTTTCACATTGGGTGTTTTTAATTTTGATCTGAAGGTATCAAAATTCAATCCCAATTTAACCTGTTAACAAGTTTACTCGTCATTTTGAATAGAAAGAGCAATGTCGCTTGGACTAATTTATTGACATAATGCATCACAATTATCGAGTTGACAGTTGATGCTAACTAATATTGGGATTTGATATTAATCCAAAAACAACGAATCATCAGATCGACAAATTAAATTAAAATAAAACATTTTTCAAATAGAAAATGTGAGCAACTTGCTCAGCATGTTGTGTTGGTTTGTTGGGAAGCTCACCATGGGGCCACTTACTGTGAATTTATTACTACAAAAGATGCACAATCTATTCCTAACTATCCCAAAAAACATGTGAAAATGTCGGATTTCTTGTTCCATTCCCCGCTATTCCTTCATATATGGGTTGGCATGCAATAAAATAACCATCTTAAATATGTAATATGCTGATAAAACTAGACTGTCCCGCACAGTCCTTTGTTTTGGGCACAAACCCTTATGGTTGTTGCAAGAACCGAGAAGGTCATGTTCCCTCTGAATTCGGTTTGTTTTTGACTTGTTCAATTCAAATAAAGTTTGATGTCTGCTACAAGCTAATTCAGGTTAAAAAATGAATATGAAGATGCAAAGGACAAATTTATATAATAAACGAGTTGATTGCACGAAAGATGAAGTTGACTGACCTAATCCTAGCATGACTGACTTGACCCATTAGGATTCAGGCCAGCTAAAGCACACGAATTAGCTCATTAACAATCAAACCAGTTCAACAGTTATCAAATGAGCTCTGTAGTACTTGAAGCAACTTAATTCACATTGGGGAAATGACAGAAGAGGAACTATGCCATCAAACCTCATCCTAAGAATGAAATATATATTTCTAGAGTGTTACATTACTAATTTTTAAACTGCCACGTTATACATAGGGAAGAGTGTCTCTAACGACCAAATATTTCTTCCAATATCTTAACAAATTAGGAGACAACATCATAGTGTATTTCACATTGGGGAAAAGACAGAAGAGGAACTATGCCATCAAACTTTATCCTGAGAATGAATTATATATCTCTAGAGTATCACATCACCAACTTTTAAAATGTCACATTATACATAGGGAAGAGTGTCTCTAACGACCAAATATTTCTTCCAATATCCTAAAAAACTAGGGAACCACATCGTAGTTTATAAATATAGAGGCTCTTGCCTTGCCCAAATAATGTGCAATCGTATTCTCAAGAGACGATAATTGTATTTTTTCCCAAATAATACAAAGCAAGATAAGCACGGGTCTCAATTACAGTGAATTAGCCTAACTCTTCAGTTTGGTGAATCACTTACTTCCTTGTATTCTTGCTTACTGGTATTCTGTTCATACACACAACTCATCCACTACACATCAAGCTACCCTCGCTCACACTTCTTAGTTTTATACACCATCATAATCAAATTTGATCAGACATCTATATGCGCCTGAGGCTCTTCCCATATTCAGTGTTGCATAAACCTTTATAGAGTAGTGATGGGTTTTGTCGCCTTGAATGCTCGGCTAGGGATGAACCTCGGGGTGGACNTTTTTTTTTAATTTTTTCTTCCTTCCCAAGCTTACATAACAGAAATCAAGCATGTGTTTGGATAATTTTTGCACAATCAATAATTATAAATGTATCAAGCCAAAATCTACTATTACTAATATTTTTCAAATAGTTTCGAATTTTTTTTGTGGGTGTAATAGCCAAAATCTACTATTACTAACACTTTTGTTATAGTCTCGAATCTACTACGACTATTAGGGGTCAACAAAGGTAAAAAGGTAAAATTCTCATTTTTCTTGGTTAAGTCTATCTTTTCTCTTTCATTTTTCACCCAATTTTGTGGGAAATTTTTTTTGTGTGATGAGGGAATAGATATTTCTTCCAACTTTCCTTTCCCTCTCATTTTCCCTCCATGCTAAACGGTAGAAATATTTCATTTCATTTCTATTTTTCTATCTCCATTTTTCGTTCATTCAATTTTCTTTCGAGCCAAACATGCCATTAGGTCCTCTTCATGAAGGATGTTGACTTAATTCATAATGATATTTAAATTGATGATAAATTTTATTAAATATTAAAACTTGATATTGATTCAATAATTCTAGTAAAATCATATCATTAAGACAAAAAAAGTTATGTGGACAAAAAATATTGACACTTTTTTCTGGCTACTTTTCATCACAACTATTGAATAGGTAATTTGTCCAAATAAAAATTGGAACCCACTATTAAATTAATTACAATGATATTGAGAGTCAATAAATATTATCAATATTATTTGTCCAAATAACATTGCTCATGAGTGATTAAAATCAATCAAAATTCAACCCATTAACATAAGGATTTGAATACGGTACCCAAAAAAAAAAAAATTCGGTACCATACCTCTATTTACTACATTTATGGTTATTTTTATTATATTTGTGGATACTTTTATCACTATTGTAATAATTATTTTTTTAGGTATTACAATAGTAATAAAAGTACCCATAAATATAATAAAAATATC